AAAAGTTTAAGGAATGTAATTATTCAACGTCTATAAACAGTCTCAGGACTCAGTATCCCACCAACTTTTAGAATACGAATGTTCCCTCACAAGCATAATACCTTTCAATATATTCAAACTTGCATAGCAGTAGGTGACCTTCAGTTCTTAGAGTTTTCTTTTAACTTTTTTTTTTTTGCATAGGTACAGGAATGTAATGTACGTGTGCGTTTTATCTACAGTGCTATTTCACTGAACATTTTATTGAATGGAAACTTATCAGAAAAGCAAATTCTTGATACTGCTTTTACCTTTTGATAAATAAAAATGATATTTGTTCCGAGCGCTTTCCTAAAATTTTCTATGACACTGCTTTTCATCAAGATTTGTTAAGTATTTAGGTTAGGTTCATTATCCAAAATCACTTATCAAAATATGACACTTCTAAAATGAAGCTCATGAAACATTGGATTATAATTTATGTCTGCCAGAAGAAACCTCTTAAAACTAACATGATTGCAAAGCAAACGATTGATCTGAAACTTTGAAAAACTTATTGTCTTTTATGAAGAGTCTTGCTTAACATCCATATTAGGAATGTAATCCATTGCCATTAGGCATGCGAAGACTGTCATTACCATCTTGGGCTTCACTTCTGTTATATCTTCTGGAAGTGCGTAAACTCTGGCTCCCATTTTCCTAGCCATCGAGATGGCATATTTCGCATTGGCAAGGTTGTCCTGAAACATAATTAAAATGAGAAGTGAAAGGGTAAATTTTCTTTTCAAATAGATAATGAATTCAAGCAAATCAAGGAAAGGTAATCAAGGGATACAAGAAAGTCAAATAACATATCTTATGTTAGAAGAATGGATCAAAAAATAGAACTTCAAAAAATTGTCAGTCCCTAGAACAAAACAACGATGAAATGCACATGGAAAAATGAAATGGGAATTGCCTCCTGAAGGATAAAGAAACAAGGAATTTTCAGATCAAGTGGGTGGTTCAAGAAATGGAAAGAATTAAGAATTTCATAATAATTTCATAATAATCACACCACGATCCATATATTCCCCTCACTCCTTGCAGAAAAGAGAAAGAAAAAACTAAGCAATATAAAGAGCAGAATATACCATATTCTATATAATATACATAGGATCCAGCAAAAAGACGACCCGTATTTGAAAAGGCACTTACGTACAAAGATACAGAAAAAAATTTCTTGTGGATATTTGGCCATAAACTCAGCAGGAAAATACATAAACATTAAATAATAAAAATATAAACACAGAAAAATACTTATATTGTGAACAACAAATACTATGCTATTTTAGATTAGTTGGTTTCAAAATATTTCTTGTAAATGATGTGGTCCGTTGACGACACATTGATGAAGTTGGAGGAAGAGGTGGTTTTTATGTTGATCCCTGTATTACACATGAAGTTATTCTTGTGTTACTATCTTATCTTCTTCGTTTTTCTCCTTTATCTTGTGTGTTTATATTATTTCTGTGCTGGCTTCCTGACCTGAACGACCCAGGATCAAAACCCCAACATAAGTTGCGATTTCTATCTGTCAATTTCTATTCAGGGCGGCTCTAAAGTTGACTCAGTCTCATCACCGAGCGAGTACCACGAATCATTCATGTGGGTAAAAGCAGCTGGAGTTAAGTGGTCACCCCAACCTCTCACTTGTGCCGATGGCAAACAATAGATTGAGCCCTATCTTCACCTCCCCCTTGGGCCAAACCTTACCTTTATTATATTCTTCTTATAACATTCGTTATTTCTTGGCTAATCCAGACTAATTAGTTTGTTTTCAGGTTTGTCACTGCTTTTTGTACATCTAATTTTTTTGAATGTCATTTTCCCCTTAAATATTGTTCTACAGACTTGGCATACCCACACGTGCTCTGTTTTCGTAATATTTCTGTATTCTTTTCCGTTAGTTCGGTGCATTGAGCATGGAAAATCTTTTTGCATTTGCTCCTGTACTTCACATCAACATTACATGTTTCCCTGCATACTAGGCATTTGGATTATTTTTCATTATACAATTGAACTTGGATAATTCAAACATCTTTAATTCAAATTTTCTCTTGTTCCTGAGCATTTTTATATCTAAACAATATCATGGGTAATTCAAATGTATTTTTTTGTTAAATTTTGTACAAGGGCATTCTATTTGTCAATGTAATGCACTTCCTTAGTAAAAATAGAAATAATGTTGGTAAAGTTTATTTTAATTAATGTAAAGTAATTGTTTTAATAGTTGGTTTTCCACAACTTGATAATCACAACGAAAACTGATTATCAAAACACTATCCAACATTAGGGCAACATCACAAGGAATACTTCCTTCTCAGACTGTGTTAAAAATCTTCATTTCAAAAACGACTGATGTTGATGTTGATGTTATTATCAATTCTGGATTATTGACCGTCCAGATTTTTGATGTTTGAATTATTAATGCTCTACTGTATATTCATTTAATAATTGTGTTAATAGTATAATGAATAGTTAAAGACATGGCAGAAAACACTTGATCTGACAGTTTACTACATACTAAACTAATTCAAATAGAAATGTTAAATAATTGTTGTAATAGATTTCCTAAATTAAATAATGGACATTAAAATTATTAGTTTTAAAGTTTTAAAAATTGTTTCCAATATCTAATATTAATTTTAGAATACAAGTGCTGTTGAAGAATTCGTTACTGTATGTGAGGGGACATAGCAATACTTACCTCTTCAGAGCCACCAATCTTGACAAGATCGTAGTTAATAGTTCCAGGTTTAATAGAATCAATTAAATCAATTACAACTGTAGCATCTGCAACACTTGGATCCTAAACAAAAGATTTCTTTATAAGAAGAAAACAATATTTTTTAAAAAGTAAGTTTTCAATGATAAATCCAAGGAAACAAAGAATTTGCCATGACCTGAGGTCAACCGTCTTCTAATAATTTCCCATTGTACTTAAAAATGTTTCATCAAATAAAACTGTACAATGTCAAAGAATGTTACAATTTGAACGAACATATTAAAGAGACCTTGAATTACCTGAAAACTCTTCAGAGAACTCTTCTTTCCAGCTTGCGACAACTTGGTGTTAACCCATGTTACTATTTCCTTCTCAACAATGGGGCTACCAGTATTAGCCAATTGTGTTAAAATGGAAAGAGTGTAAGCTCTCATTAACTGCCAAATTAGTGCTGCAAATGAATGTAATTATTAACAAATAAGAAATTTAACAGAATTAATATTTCAAGTGATAAAAATAATTAGTACAATGCTGGAAGACTTGAGTAACAAAATATTGGAAATTAATCTTCTATGTCTTGACATGCCAAGCATACAATACCTAACCTAATAGAATAACCTTCTAATGGAAAAAGGAATATTTTCTGTAATGGCATGATCGTTAAGGTAGTTTTACCAAAAACTCTCTATGAATTTGTAGAAAATATTGAATTAAGAAATGCCTAGCATCAATTATGGGGTCTCAGTGGAGGGAATTGGCCTGTCGATGTCTCAGACAGACTCACTAAGAGTCAGAGCAGTGGAGAAACAAGCAAAACTGCCAGGTCACAGGGGGCAGGAAGCAGATGACAGAAAAGCGTGGAGCTGCGTAGGCGAGATGAGGAAATAATGCAGCAGTACAGGCCAGGGCCGATCAAGAATGAGTAAAGAGGGAGAACACTATACAATAAACTTCCAATTATCTGTGGACCTCTCTTCTTTCTCTTTTTTAAAGTAGTGTTTATAATAATTATATGTTTTGAATAAACATCAATGACAAAGAGGTGTTTGAACATGAAAAAACAAAGCCAAAGCCAGTATTTGACTTATAAAATATAATCTGAATATAAAATTATTGTTTATCATGTATGTAATTGTATGTATGGCCATTAAAGTGAAAATAAAACTTGTTAAAAGCATTTCGCTGTCAATTTTCATCTTTTTGGCCAAATTCGAACACTGTAGAAATTTCTTATCCATATGTCCAAATTGCTAGACCTTGAGGACTGTGATTAAAACCTTCAATATGGTTGAGGGCCATATTTTCCTTACTCAGGGGATCCACACCCGACTACCCCCTTTATCTTGATCTCGATCTCCTCAGTTTGGCCAGCTATCCTGAAAGGGGACGGGGACGGGGAC